CGGGTACAGCATTTACGGAGAAGTTTGAGGAGCCGACACTCGACGACGAGGAATGGCAAAGGATGGAAATGGATAGGCGACGTCAAATCAGGACGGGTCTGGGCATTGAAGGAGCATCTGCATGAATCATTGGCGTGTAAGAATTGGTGACATCTTTTTCTGGTAATGTTTTATGTAGAAATCCACTCATTCAATCACCACTGCGAGATAAAGCATCGTACCTACTGCACCGACTCCACACTCCGCTATTGAACCAGTGTTGAGCTAAACTCAACTCAATGCAAATAAGGTAGTCAGTTAGTCAAGTAGTCAGGAGATTCAGACATCACATTGCAAGTGACACTCAAAGTTGTTTAACGTTCTTGTATTAGGCGTCCTGAACCTGGAGGCCGAACTAGAATACATCTGATCCCATGCGTAACCGTGCTTTTCCCATCGTGATTTCATAAATGCAAAGAAAGCAAAAGTCTATTCGTGAAACCCAGTGACAACCACCATGTTGTCACACCCAAGACTGCGACTCTAAGGAAAGATCTCATCAAGGGTATTAATTTAGTCAACCTCCTCGACGGTGGGGCCGTCGTCGTGGTTGCCGGGGGGAGCGCCGCCGGGAGCACCGGGGAAGCCACCAGGGGCACCGCCAGGGGGACCACCGGCAGAGCCGTAGAACTTCATCATGATGGGGTTGGCAATACCCTCAAGCTCCTTCTGGCGGTCCTCGTACTCCTCGCGGGTAGCCTGCTGGTTCTCGTCGAGCCAGGTGACGACCTTGTCAATCTCAGCCTTGAGCTTCTCCTTGTCGTCGGCGTCAAGCTTCTCGTCGACCTTGGAGTCGGAGAGAGTGTTGCGGAGAGAGTAGGCGTAAGACTCAAGACCGTTCTTGGCAGCGACACGCTGGCCCTCAGCCTCATCCTCATCCTTGTACTTCTCGGCCTCAGCAAGCATGCGCTCGATCTCCTCCTTGGATAGGCGGCCCTTGTCGTTGGTGATGACGATCTTGTTGGACTTGCCAGTGCCCTTCTCGACGGCGGAGACGTTCATGATACCGTTGGCATCGACATCGAAGGTAACCTCGATCTGGGGAACGCCACGGGGGGCGGGGGGGATACCGGTAAGCTCGAACTTGCCGAGGAGGTTGTTGTCCTTGGTGCGCTGACGCTCACCCTCGTAGACTTGGATAAGGACACCAGGCTGGTTGTCGGAGAAGGTGGAGAAGACCTCGGACTTCTTGGTGGGAATGGTGGTGTTACGGGGAATGAGCTTGGTCATCATGCCACCAGCAGTCTCGATACCGAGGGAAAGAGGGGCAACATCGAGAAGCAGGATCTCGTTAGTGGACTTGGAAGAAGTGTCACCAGACAGGATGGCAGCCTGGACAGCGGCACCGTAGGCAACAGCCTCATCGGGGTTGATGGACTTGTTGGGCTCCTTGCCGTTGAAGTAGTCGGAGATGAGCTTCTGGATGCGGGGAATACGGGTGGAACCGCCGACCAGGACAATCTCGTGGACCAGGGACTTGTCGATCTTGGCGTCGGACAGGACGCGGTCGACGGGCTGGATGGTGGAACGGAAGAGGTCCTGGCAGAGCTCCTCGAAACGGGCACGAGTAATGGAGGTGTAGAAGTCGATACCCTCGAACAGGGAGTCGATCTCAATGGAAGTCTGGGCGGACGAGGACAGGGTGCGCTTGGCACGCTCGCAAGCAGTGCGGAGACGGCGGAGAGCACGAGCGTTGGAGGACAGGTCCTTCTTGTGCTTGCGCTTGAACTCGTTGACGAAGTGATTAACGAGACGGTTGTCGAAGTCCTCACCACCCAAGTGAGTGTCACCAGCGGTGGACTTGACCTCGAAGATACCCTCCTCAATGGTCAGGAGAGATACATCGAAAGTGCCACCACCGAGATCGAAGATGAGGACGTTGCGCTCACCCTCAGCCTTCTTGTCAAGGCCGTAGGCGATGGCAGCGGCGGTAGGCTCGTTGATGATACGGAGGACGTTGAGGCCGGCAATGAGACCAGCGTCCTTGGTGGCCTGACGCTGAGAGTCGTTGAAGTAGGCGGGAACGGTGATGACGGCGTTGGTGACCTGGCCACCAAGGTAGGCCTCAGCAGTCTCGCGCATCTTGGTGAGGACCATGGCGGAGATCTCCTCGGGGGTGAAGGTCTTGGTCTCGCCCTTGAACTCAACCTCGATGACGGGCTTGCTGTTCTTATCGACGACCTTGAAGGGGAAGTGCTTCATATCGGCCTGAACCTCAGAGTCGTTGAACTTGCGACCAATCAGACGCTTGGCGTCGAAGACGGTGTTGTGGGGGTTCATGGCGACCTGGTTCTTGGCGGCATCACCAATCAGGCGCTCGGTGTCATTGAAGGCGACATAGGAAGGGGTGGTGCGGTTACCCTGGTCGTTGGCAATGATCTCGATCTTGTCATTGGCAAAAAATCCAGTGCAGCTGGGCGATAGTTAGTACACCAGTACAATTGAAATAACAATTCGCAAAAGGGCTCTTACGAGTATGTCGTCCCGAGGTCGATACCAATAGCCTTGCCGGAAGCCATTGTGAATGTGTGTTGTGGTGATGTGAAGGTGTGGTGTTGTTGTTTCGTGGTGGTGGGGTATCAAAAGAGTCGTGTTCGCGAAGACCGGTTGTGGTGTGTTCCGGTGTAGAAAGTAGCAGCGATCAAGTTCTCGTTAGAAAAAGAGATGCTGGACGCTTCGTTTGAATTGTTGGGGTATTGTTGATGTAGAGGAATTTCGTGAAGAGTGAAGAGCAAAAAAGTCGAAGTGGTTGGTGTTGACTTGGATTTAAAAGGTTGTTGGCAAGAGAGGACGCAAGGCCCCGCAAAACTTCGAAAGGGTTCTTCGCTCTTCCACCTGCTCTCCAATGGTGGGGTAGATCCAAGCGTCCACCAGCTTCGCGGCCCTGCCAGACTGCGCCAGTCCCTTCCAATTGCCTCCAGAAACCGCTGAAATTTTCTACAAGGATCTTTTTTAGTGCGCTTGCAACCCGATTCAGCCTCTTCAGGAGGCGAAAGTCCCAATTTTCCAAGGATTGCACGCTCTTTCCTGCTCTCACGGTGCCTCTGGAAGACGGACAATTCTATGGAAGACTTTCGTTTGAACCTCATTCGTTGACATCATATCCACAAGAAGCTTCTACAATCCTACCCCTCAGGTCCCCAGTACCCCTGCTGCCGCCCCATGCCCGAACTAAACCACGGTACCCTCTACCTTTCCCCTCCAAGTTCTGCCCCTCAGTCAGGTCGAATCCACACCGCTAGTAACTGATGGAAACCTTTTGGAGAGTGATATCATCCTCCGTCAGTGGGGGGTTGATTGAGTGGTTCTGCGACTCTTCAAGAAGCATCTAAACTCCGTAGACGACCTGTTGCAGAGCCCAACTGAGAGTAGCCAGCTCTTTCCGCTTATCCATCGCAATTCTCTGGAACGCCAGGACCACGTAGCCGCCCACCTTGGCGACCCAAGCTGACGGCGACAACAGTCGACCGAAAAAAAGAGGTGGCAGGGATGCCGACATACACATTCACACACAGTTGGCGCCCAAGGGGCTGACATGGCCGAGAGACAACGGAGGCAATGGACCGCAAGGTCAGGCCAGGCGTGCAAGGCAATCCGAGACAGGCAGCGGCCAATCCAGGCAGGTGTGGCTGGCGCCTTCCACAAACGCCCTCAATGTGAGAATCGAGATTTTAGACAGGGGCCGCTCTGCCTTGGAACCTTGGAATTGCGCCTCGCAAACAGATCGTAAATGAGCACCCTCAGGAAAACCCATGGCCATCCATGTCGCACAATCCATCTACTCGTAGCAACCATCATCGGTGTTGGAAATTTTCCATTTTCACCTCAATGGCTGGCTGCATGCGGTGCGATGAAATTGCATTCTCTTTGTTGCCGGGCAGGCGGGCAACTTTTTTTTCCTTTCCCCTCCCCCTCTCATCTCTTGCATGTGTCCGCCCAGCGACCGCCAGGCAACGATCTGAGAGTGCAGGGCACCTGGCTGTTGCGTGCCCAGCAGCCTTACGCAGCACTCGCAGATGCGGATTACCTAATACAGGGGCGAAACAGGGTGAGCTTGTCCTTGGTCCGTGCTGCAAGATTTTTTTCCGGTGCGGGATGGCGGACGCCCTGGAGTGGGGCCCGCTCCGGCGCTGGATGCCAAACAGAGAGATGACCTGCATAGAATCTTGCCTCAGCAGCGCGGGAAGAACACAAAAATCCGCCACTACGTCGAAGGCGGCGATGAAATCTGGTCAGGATGCTCCTTGTCCTCTTTTAAAATGCTTTCAAAATGGGTCGTCTTGAATGACCACCTTCTAAATGACCATATTACCCAGGAGGCTGTGGCACAGTACGATGGAGACGATAGTATGCGAAAATAGGGGAAATAGAATCGATGAATCTAGTAGATATAATAACTAACAGCTATAGAGACGACAGAGACGACGACGCACAGTAGATGGAGGTGTGTATCCAGTAGCCGAAAGATCTAGTCCAGCCTGAAAGGTTGGCTGGGATGTCGGGTATCGTCTATGACCCCTATCACACATGACACCGTAGTGACGGGTGATTCGTGGCGGCAGACGATGCCTCAACGCTGGCTTGAATGGATCACAAAAACAACCATGAATCCCATCACAAACAGCAGACACGTAAATGAGGAATGCGAAATGTATGTATGATTATGACAACCCAAGCCCTATCTCGTGCCATAGAACCGCTACACCTCGTAAAACCCAAACATGAAAGCCCAATACGCTCATATCACGACATGCCTCCTCATCAGGTGGCCGCTTTTCAGCTTTTCGTCTCAATCCTACAGGTGCACGAAAAAAGAAACAACACCGCAACAATCGGAATCCAATGAGCCACTGAAGGGTATAAAGGCTAAATGGAAGCTTCCGTTGATATGCAAACATCCGCCCAGCTCGCAAAAGTCATTTCGAATAGGAAAACATGAGCACCCGCTCAGGACGTCAAACTCAACCCATAATGGTCGTGTCCTGAGAAGGGCCTGGTGTCCCAGCCATCGCGCTGCTGTTGACTTCGCAGCCCTGGGCGAAGAAGATACGCGCTGGTTGCTCATAATCATTGTGAATGCTGTAGTAGTTGCCTGAAATCATAGTTAGCAGTGGCACTTGGAACAGGATTCCAGAAAGGCCGGCTTACCTCTGGGCACAAACCACATTCCACCGGCACCGATTCTGAACTGCGTCTCGTGGACGGTAACCAGGACCTTGCCCTGGAAGACGAAAAACACCATCTGCATCTTTCGCGAGTTCTTAGGCCGCTTCTCCGCGCCGGGCGGAAGGTCGACGACGCCCGAGCCGAAGAAAGGCAAGCTAAGCGTCTTTGCGAATCGGAAGGTAGCGTCGCGGATGTCGCGTGTTTGAATGGCGCCAGCAGAAACGGCAATGCGGTCCTCGTCGATCTCGACTTGTTCGTTGATGGCGGGAGGATTGAACTCGTGCTCGGGCTGCCAGACGACAATTTCGCCTTCGATGTTGCCCGGGTCTACCTCCCACGGTTCCGGCTCCTCTTCGTCCTCGGATTCGGCCTGCTTCCTTCTGCCTCCCTTTCCTGCAGCTTTCCGGCTCTTCGCCCTTCTCTTGCGTGCCTCCTTTTCTTCCTCCTCGACACGGACAACCTCCTTGATGCTGGGAAGTAAGAACCTGTCCTTGCCGGCTTCGAAAGCCTCTTCTTCATCGTACTCGACGTGCTCGTTCTTCCAGTACGCCAATGGCCTGTAGGATTGACGACCGGATCTTGTTTTTGTAATGGCATGGGGATCTTGTGGCACTTTGCGTGAGACCAAGCCACGGGCCTTGGGCATGGGCGGCCCCTTTTGGACCAGACCAACAATTGAATCGTCTCCAGCAGCCGCTTCCGTCTGGGGCTTTCGGCCCGGCCTGCCCTTGGGCTTGGGCTTCGGGTCAGCCTTCGCAGCATCTTTGCTCGACTCGCCCTTCTCCTCTTGAGGAACGGCCTTGGGCCGCCCACGCTTGCCAGGTTTTGCTGCCGCCGCCGCTGCCGCAGTTTCCGTACGTTGCCTTTTGGAAGCGCGATCGTCCGCTTCCACCTGCTCCTCCTCGTTGCCGTTCGAATTCCGCGAGCGTCTGCGCTTGGGAGCGCTGACCTCCTGCTCGGGTTCCTGCTCGGGCTCGGGCTCGTCAGCCTTGGCCTTTCCCTTGCCGTTAGCTGGACGGCCTCTTCTGCCCTTCGGGGCCACTGGCTCCTCCTCTGACTCGGCAGCATTCTCCGGCTCTTCCTCTGGCTCCTCGACAACTGGCGCCTTGGCCTTGGGTGGGCGTCCTTTACGCTTGGCCGGCTGCTTTGGCGCTTCTTCCTCCACCTCCTCAGTGACATCGTTCGGCTCATCCCCCGGAACTTCCACCTCACCAATCATTTGCAGGGACTCCTCGATGATTTCGTCCATAGGCGCTCCTTCGTCTTCCTCCGGTTCGGTGGAGAGGGCGCGTCCGTTTGTTCCATTCGTGTGCTTGCCGTTTACACCATTCGCGCCGTAATCAAGACGGCGAGAAACAGATGCCCCCCGGACAGGCTGGGAATGCGATTGCGCGGGAGATCCTCGGTAAGGTGATCCTCGAATCGGTGATGAAGAGACACCAAAGTTAGGGTGTCGCACTGCAGGAGAAGCGAGGTTTGTCTTCCGCGGGGAGGTTCCTCGAGGGATTAGTCGCGGATGCCCCTTAAGAATCGTGGCTGGTCCGGCGCCGGTGTCTACATGGCTTCGTCAGGATGCGCGCGTCAAAGCCGCCAGCACAGCAAACTCACCAGAGTCGAGCTCCATATCTTGCTCGCCCGTCGATTCGTCGGGAGATCCGTTGTCTTTCTCCGGCGAGGAGAAGAGACCGTCGATAGGTTGCATGCCATGTTCGTCGCGTACGCCAGTGTCGGGCAACTCAATGCCAGTCTTTCTGCAAGGGCGTAAGTAAAATGCTCAAAACTACCGAGTCGCAGCTTCTATCCAGAACGAAGAAGACATCTGCGCGCGACATACCGCCCCTTGACACCGAGCTCATGGAAATCGCCTGTGGACGTCTCGCGACGCCTAACATTGCTCGGTCGCGGTGCCATCGCGACTGTGGAGTCTTTGGGAATTCCGATGGAAATCCCGCCAAAATTAGATGAAAATGATCGCAGCTGAGGAGCTGGGGCCTGAGGAGTGCGGGCGAAGCTGAGCAAAGATACTGAGCCAGGTGCGTCGTATTTGTTTACCCCGAGCAGGTGTGGTGGTTTGTGGTGTTGAGCGCGCAACTTTTTGGGCGGTGGAAAGAAGCACCGTGAGTTGGCGTCGCGCGGTGTGGTGCTTGCACTTTGCTGTTAGCGGTGCTTCCGGGCCTGTCAGTGGCTGATACCCGCTGCAATCCAGGAGTCGACGGGGCACATGTGCGGGAGGATCCACCTGGATGGACGCGTCTCAATTTACCGGGACGCGTCGAGGGGCCGAACCTGCCACCCATTACTTTCAGTCTTCAAGTCACTTCATCAATCACTCATTTTTTGGTCGTCACTTTCTCATCTTTGTCGCTTTGTTTCTGCTACGAGACGTTTTGGATACGAAAATTGGGAAACTGGGCTTGCAGCAAAATATCCGGACGACAACAGAAACTGTCGTAGACAAACGAGGACTTACACCCAACCCGCGACGTCAAACGGGATACATCCAGATTCCTCTTTAATACACCAATTCTCACCATGGAAGACACTCAAACGGTCGAGGACATCGCCATGGAGACCCCAGTCTCAGATGTCTTTATCCCACCCTCCATTGACGACAAGGCCCTCCTCGCAGGCGACAGCTACTCCTACTTCTCCCCCATTCCGCCGTCACTCCTCCCGTCATCAGAATCCACAGACTCAGAAACACCAGCGCTCGGCACCCCAGTCTGTCTCGGCGTAGACGAAGCAGGCCGCGGCCCCGTCCTCGGCCCCATGGTCTACGGCGTCTTCTTCCTCCCGATCCCCCTCTCGGACCCCCTCCTCCGCGAAACCCACCACTTTGACGACTCAAAGGTCCTCACGCCCGCCGTCCGCTCCCAGCTCATGGAGGCTCTCTGCACGCCGGGATCAGACCTCTTCGACTCCTGCGGCTTCGCCATCCGCTCCCTCTCCGCCCGCGACATCTCCACGGGCATGCTCCGCCCCGGCGCGACATACAACCTCAACGCCCAGGCCATGGACGCCACCGTCGACCTCATCAAAGGCGTCTTCGCCCGCGGCGTCAACGTCGCCGAGATCTACGTCGACACCGTCGGCCAGCCTGCTGCCTACCAGGCCAAGCTGCAGCGCTTCTTCCCGGCGACAAAGATCACCGTCGCAAAGAAGGCAGATAGTCTGTACCCCTGCGTCTCAGCTGCCTCTGTCGCTGCCAAGGTCACTCGTGATGCTGCGCTTGAGGTTCTGTACCGCGCGCGTGCGCCTGAGGCGGCCGAGGCGGAGGAGGGCATGGCCTGGGGTTCAGGCTATCCGTCTGACCAGAGATGTGTGACTTGGATGAGGGGCAACATGCACCCTGTCTTCGGCTGGGGCCCCGAGTGCAGATTCAGCTGGGGCACGGCCAAGGACATGCTTGAGGCCAAGGGGAGCTTAAAGGTCGAATGGCCAGTCGATGATGACGGCGAGGCTCGCATGACTGACTTCTTCCGGTCGACAGACGCAGAGGATGGCGATGAGTTGGGTACATGGTTTGGAAGACCAGCAGGCCTTGAGGCTTTTTAGGATTAGTGTAACAAAGGTCGGGTAAGAGGCGTTAGGCGTATGTATATCATCTGGGATCACCACGGGAAATTTGACAGGATACTACAACGTATCTTATAGACATTATATCCTTTGCTCCTATTCGCACTCTTTGTGGTGGCCGGCGTCTGGACCGCAGCTTCATTCCAGCTTCATGCGTAAAATCTAGATGTCATCAATATCATCCTCCGAGCTCTTCTTCTTGCCCCGACTGTCCAAAGTGTCCATACTGATGGAGCTGTCGGCCCGGGAGGGCATGGCCAGCGCCTGTCGGGCAGTGTCTGAGTTCTCGATGAACTCTCTCAACTTCTGCTTGCCAATCTCAACACCCTGGTTTGCCGCCGCATTGGCCATCTGATACATGGGGCCCAGCATGTTCAGCGTGTAGGCGACATAAGTGCCTCCAGCCAGCAAGATGAGGAAAATGAAAAGGAACGGGTTGCGCAGGACTGTCTTGCGTTAGCGTTGTCAATGAAAAAGCTCTCAAGCCACTTACCGGCAACAATTTCGTTCCATCCCAGGGCAACGAGGAGAGCGTAGAAATACAGAGGTACTTGAGCGACACCGCCAATGGCGCTGCGCTTGGCCTCGACGTAGACGCCATCTGCCGTCTTCTTGAAGCGGATGACAAGGTCTTGGCGCTTACTCTCGCTAAGCACCGTCATCTCCTCCTCAAGGCTCTTGCCGTCCTCTTCGTCAACACCACCAATTGGAGTCAGGTCCTCCTCGTCGCTAGCTTCAACGCCGCGAGGCTGTCCGCCAATCCAGGCGGGCAGGTCCGGGGAGCTGAGAGACTCTGACAACTTGAACTTCGACAACAGAGGGATGAGAGTCAACGTAGACTCTCGCGCCTTAGTGTAGATGCCCTCGATGTCGTCTGTAGGTCGCCAGATCCGAGGGACACCGGCCTCGTCATATCTGAACTTGTCCTCAAAGTTTTCCCTCAGCTTCAACAGGATGTTGCCCTCCATCACTTCCTCCTCAATCTTCTCACGCAGGGCAACCCAGCTCTTGCGCTTCAGGCGCCAGAGGCCAATGTCAACCTCCTCTTGTGTAGCCTCGAAACTCTTGGCACGCTCGGTGAACCTGCTCTGGGCATCCTTGACAATGTCGACGAACACGGTCCAGATACGATCCCAGAGATCCTTCTCGGTCGGTTTTTCGCCAGTCTCGGGGGCGCCAGAACCAGCCCTACCGGAGCCCAACTTGTTGAACTCCAGCCCAATGGCGTCGCCCAATCGGGACTTGACCCATCTCTCAACCCTCGTGGCCAACCGACGCATCTCCTCCTTGCGCAGCTTGCCGCTCACATCGTCAAGCTCCTTCTCGAACAGCACGTATTGCGATTTAAAGTTAGACCACGCGACACCCGGAATGGCGAGACTTTCGGCTTCGGTCTGGAAGAACTCAAGGGTCTTCTTCTTCTCCTCGGTGACGATCTCGGCAAACTCGTAGGCGGCACCGGACTTCTGGCCAGCCTTGACAGCACCCGATACAGCATCACTGAACGAAGCAATACCCGACTTGTGTGCAGCAGTCAGCTGTGCGTTGTATAGCGTCTTAAGCCTGGCGTCAATCTTGCCCTCCAAGTCTTGGCGCTTGCGCGTGTAGACGCCCTTGTGGTATCGGCTGGCTTGGATCTCGAATGCCTTCAGGCACTTCTCGCGGGACTCACGGCCAGTGACACCAAGCTCTGCCAATACGGCGGGCTTTCCAAGCCTTGCAGACTCGGTCTGCTTCTCCTCCAATGGCACAACAGCATTGTCAAAACCAATCAGAACCTCTCGGGAGATTTCGTCGCAGCGGAACTGAGCAAGAAGCTCTTGCTGTGTTGGCAAGTCCAAGTCCTTGTTGTTGACAATCTGGTCCCAGATACCCTCGGCGTAAATCGAGAATCCGTCGGCGGGAATGCGGCGGTGGTACTCGGGCAGGAACACACCGCCTTCAAACTCCTGACTTGTGGATCCACCCGATCGGTGCCCCGCAACGAACCTCTTCCCCAGGTTCTGAATCTCAGTCGTGAACTTATCGGCCTGGAGAATCTTGTGGGGGAGGGCGGCGAAGGCAAAGTCAAAGTAGTCCTCGATGCGGGAGTTCTCAAGACCCTGGGGCTTGGAAATAGACGTCCAAATCTTGGTCAGGTCCTGGATCAGGGTGTTGCGCAGGTTCGCGAGAGGGGTCGTGCCGAGGTGGTCTCGAATGACGAAGAAGAGCAGGGATCTGAGACTCGACCTATGGTGGCGTGTCAGCAAGTGGCGGTCTAACTGCACCGCACATTCGACTTACTGCTTGTCCTTGAGGAAGAGCTGCAGGTTGACCTCGAAGACGGTCTTCAGCAGACCCATATTCGCACCGTTATACAAACCAACTTGGGTCTCCCAGAGGTTCACGATGAGGACCTCACTCGTAGCCAAGGCGAACAGGGCGCTCTTCCTCTCGAAGTCCTGGTCCTCGCCACGCTCGCGACCGTCGGTTCCCTCCACGTCCATCACGAGGATGTTCTCGGCCATGCCGGATGACTCCTTCTTGTTCTTGGACATCCAGATACCCTTGGTGGTTTGCTGTCGCATCGTCTCGGACATGACGGAGAAGTCGGTACCAAACAGGTTGTTCAGCAGCGTCGACTTTCCGGTGGACTGAGAGCCGAAGACGGAGATGAGGTGGTAGTTGAACCCCGCCTCGGCGACGTGGACTTTTTGGAGGTATTTGTTGACCGCGACACTGCAAGTGCAGAGGTTAGCTACTGTTTGGCATGATCTCGCGGGGGCGGAGACTCGGAATCGTACTTGAAGTCTTTCTGGTCGTCAATGACTTGGATGCCATGCTCGTAGTTTTGAGCGTCCGGCTCATCGCCGACAGCAGCGAAGTGGCCGTTCATGGTTGCGGCAACGTATGAGGCAAAAATCTAGAAGGGAGCGACGAAGAGCGTGCGTATGTGTTCTATATGGACATTGTCGTTCCTCCCAAATAAAAATAGAAAAAAAGCCAGGCGTCGTGGGTGCAGATTTGCAGCAAGGGGCGAAAGGTCCAGCAGAGGTGGCTATCGGTGTTGGCAACGGAAATGGGAAGTGACCAGATCAACCCTTGTGATCAAGTTCCCCTGCCATGGGCTGGCCATGGGCCATGGGCCGTCCACAGGTTAGTTAATCTTGCTTTCCCAGCAGTGCGAATGCGCCGGATGAATACATGGTCCGTGAGCCTTTCCCCCAAAATGCCCCAACCAGAAGCCAAATTAGGCTCGGTCTCAGGGCAACCCCTGGCATGTGAATCCTAGCTCCCCCTATCGCTGCGGGAAAATCACCCAAAAAACATCAGACGGCATGACGACACCACAGACATTTACTCGCCATTGTTTGGCAGGTCGATCAGTGTCAAAAAAAGACCTTCGACTGGAGCATGGCCCGAGAATTGCAGAAAAAGCGCTATCCATCAACATGTGCTGTGCGTCCCTGGAACTAACTTTGGTGTCCGCTAGCGAACATCCTAGGTTCTCAACGGCGGCGCGGGCCGGTTTTAATGTGGAATGGTCCTTCAATTCAGCTTAACAACCCTTCGATTTCAATCCTGCGGCAAAGTAATTACATATGGGCCGTCAACCGTACTTCGAAATCAGCTTCTTCATGATACCCATTGCCCCGCTCCGATAGCCTCCGCCAAACATGGCATAATGGTTGAGATGGTGATATCTGCAAGTACCTACTGTCAGACGGATAGTTGACCAGGCAACGCAAAGGGCAAGACACTTACAGCTCGTACAACGCAACTCTATCTTCCCATTCCTCTTTGGGCTCCGCCTTTGGGACCAGCTTGTTGTACTCGTTCCAGAAGCTGCTGCCGAAACCGCCAAACATCCTCATGATGCCAAGCTCATACTCAGAGTGGCCGTACACAGCCGACGAATCGTAGACAACCTCTTCCGCACCGCCCTTGCCGGCAATCTGCCCCCGGCTATGGTTCCCACTCCAAAGATCGCCGTGGATTAACACCGGCTTCATCCCTTTAACGTGGTCGTCGCCGATCAGCCGCGGTACGACCCTGCTCGCTACCGTCTCCACGGCTTTGGACAGCTCCCCGTCCGTGCCATTATTCTGGACGCCAGCACGCAGAATGCTTCGCAGTCGGTTCTCAGCATAGAACTCGGCCCATGACTCTTTCCATGAATTGTCTTGGGGCGTCGAACCGCAACATGTGGTCACGGGGAAGCCATACATGGGCTTATCATAGCCCTCTGGGATTGGCGCGGGGGTTGTGTGCATTTTGGCCAGCTTTGCGGCCAGAGACAGCCCAGAACCGCCCGCGGCCGAAGAACCAAGGTCCAGAAAATCCGTGACCATGAAGTGCGTACCAGGTGACGACTGATACTTTCCGTGGGCATGTGACTTGGGGCAGGAATTGGGTACGGCATCGTGAATGGCGTTCAGCGACTCATGTTCACCTGCCATTTGTCAGGAGACGTGTTGACATGAACCAAACGGAACGACTCCGAGAGTGAGTCAAACTCACCCGTGAACATGACCTCCGCCTCCTTGCCGCTGCCAGTCTTGACGAAGAATTTGATGGGCTGACCATCGACGACTGACATGAGCTTGAAAGAGGACGCAAACCCAGATCCTCCGTGCGACGCAATTTTGGTCTGCTCCGGGTCGAGTTGCAGAGCTTCAATAACAGCTGGGTCCACGTTCGGAGCCATATTAAAGACTTTGGCGAAGATTAAAGCCCTGAGATGTCAAGTTGAAGAGTGTCGTCCAAGAGATGCACTCGACTTAAGCATACGCTAGCTGCCCTCCCACCTACCCAAGCCAGACATTGGATGAGCTGTAAGTGACGTATCCGTAGAACACAGCGGCCTCCACACTGGGCGGGCCGCATGTCACTCAGCCCCACAGACCCCAACTGTCCACGAGTGTCATCGTTCTTACCACCGTGTCCCCATTCCATCGACTCATGAGCTCTCCTGCGCTCGGCGTCTCCAGCTTCTACAGCCACTTGGATCGATAGCTCAGTGGTAGAGCGAGAGATTGCAGTTTCAAACAGCAGTTATCTCTAGGCCCCGCGTTCGAACCGCGGTCGGTCCTTGTCGTTTTGTTTTTGCAGGAAGTAAATTCCTTTAGATGCTGCTGATGGAGTTTGATACTATTTTGGTCAATTCCAATGGTTGCTTTTCCATAGCTACGTCTATTGCGCCATCTGAAGCAGCTGGCACGTCATGCGGTGCTTATTCCCGCCAGGACAGGTGGAATCGGCCCCGTCATGCAGGTGGGTCTGCCGCTCCGATAAGCGGCGCCGTGATGGGGCCGGTTTGCTCCGGAAAAGGCATGTGTGGTGGTCATCTGAGCTTATCACGAGAGCAACTGAGACATGATGCTTCACAATATGTTGATTTTCTATCGTGAATTCAAAAAGAGGCTATCAAACGGTATCTTCAAGCGAACTGGAACACCTTACCTAGCTCCATCTATCATTCATCCCAAACACCAAAAAGCTCCCGAATTGCTATGCCGCGCATTCACCCGTCTCGAGGTATCTGTCACGACGCATCGCGTATTCACGGGTCACGATTCCCGCCAACCGACACCAGCCATGGCAAAGAAGAAAGTCAAGCTGACCTCCTTGTCCCGCCTGACTGGCTGACATGCGGGAACCAAACGCCCCCGGTCTAGGCCTGTCAATACCCCAACTTTCCCCCAAACTTTCCCAACCCCAGCTGTGTGGCCCAGCGCCGCGCCAACCACGCGCGCAAGAAGCTAACCCCCTCCCTATCGCATCCTCGCTTCCCCAGGATTACGACTTCGCACCAACCCAACGGGACAGTTCCCCCGCGGCGGCGCCCAAAGAAAAGCTGCGGCGCCCGCCGGCGCGTTCCCAAACCGTCCAACGACTGCAACCCAAGGACCCCTTATCTGCATCTCAAACCCTAAAATTGGCTGGTCCAACCTGTCGTGATCCTGCGCCCAGAGACTCTTAAGTAGAGTCAGCTTCTTGGCACTTCGGGGTCACGCAGGATTTCTGAGGGGGTTTTGCCCATTCCCATTTCCCTTTCTCCCATCCAACCTGCCCGAAATGAAGAAGACCGCCGTGTGTCGAGGTGAGAGGAGCGAGGGGAAGAAAAGACCGGTCTGGACGCCATGGACGCCATGGACGCCAAGCTTCCTTCCCCTCGGTGGCAGTGTACGTGGCCCTGGATGTCGGTGCAAGCCACGGCTGAATTACCACCCCTCACTTAAACGATTTCCTTCCCCCGAACGAAGCGGTGAATGTTGGTGAGCGAGACAGAGCTGGTCCTGCTTTCTTGGGAGTACACGCTGAGGTTGGTGGTCGAGGAGGTCTCTTCGCGACGGAGGGGCGTCAGGTCGGTTTCCGTTTCTCTTCGGAGAGTGGCTGTTCGGGTTTCTTTGGGTTGAGGAGCCGTCGTCATGGTCGAAGTCGCAGTCTGTGGGGCCGTCGTCTTCCAGTGCTCGCCGTTGCCGTTCCAGCAGGCAGAGCATGGGCATTGAGGAGTGCGGTTGAGAGCTGGCGGAGGAGTGCAGTGGCGCTTCCACCAGCCGAGAGGCTTTTGTTGTCGTTGTTGTTCGGAAGACATCGTGAAGTGGGTGAGGATTTGTGGTGAGGAGACGGGACAACAGAGACGTCAAAGTCAAGTGAATGGCAAGGGATCAAGGGACTAGAGGACCGAATCTAGGCTCTAGATATATGCTGTGGGTATAGGTAGAAGTCGACTGGACTGGCAAAGGTCGAACGATGACCCCTTAAATGCAAAACGTGAAGGCCTCGCGGCGGAAGGCAAGAAACAGGCTGGTGAATGGAGACAAGCGGAAGCGGATACAGGTTCCTCGGAAAGGGGGGGCCGATAAAGATTTATACCCTCGAGAAAAAGCATCCCCCGAGACGACACCGCAGCGGCGCCGGGCCATGGTCAAGGAGAACGGTGTTTGTGGGACCCCTTGGTCGTGTACCCATGACTGCATGTGAAGCTTACCCGGCCCGGTTTGTGCTCGCAAGGCTCAAAGCCTAGATAAGTGCGTATGTAATACAACGTACAGAAATCTCGACTGGGCGCTTGCCTAGCCTTCAGCTTTTGTCTAGCTGCCGCCGCCGGCGCACAAGTTCGGCCACATTGTCGGGTCTGTTATCTTTCAGATGGTAGAGCCGGCACTGTTCTGCTCGAACCCTTCGGCATTGTCTCCGGCTCACTTGAGCCCACGATCACCCACGATTCCAAAGTCGTCAGAACCGGCGAGAAAACAAACAGGAGAAAAGCCAGGCCTGCGGTACTTGTCAGTCGCAAGAATCTCAAGGTAGATGGTCCCCAATAAGGGCAAACGGCCGGTACGTACTTGTTTAGTCACCTTCGCTAATCGCATCACATTGTCTCGGGAGTGCGTCGGAGAAGCCTCGCAATGTTAGTGCCCGCTTTTCTTCTACTGTCCCTACATTTCGACATACGACTGTGGATCCAGACCGCCGTGGAAACAACGATTTTTTCTCAGCTAGAGCTCGTTCCTATTCCGAGGGCGTCCCTGTTGGAGTTTCGTTTTGCTGGGCGCGACGTTGCGGCGTGGTGTTGCAGATGCGACTCAGTCGCCGTTGTTGATGCGTCCCGGCGCATGTTGCGGATCATCCGGCCGATCGAGCGTTGAGCCCGTCGGTACGTACCACCTCCTCGAGCATCCTCTCCCTCGAAAACAAAAGAGGGTGATCGAAAGGTCGTGAAGGCTCGGCGATGAAGTTTCGGGCGAGAAAAAACTCGGAAATCAGTGGCAAGAAGAAACCACAATTTTGTGACTTGTCCCAACTGCCAGCAGCCCGAATTCCAGACCGGTTCGAGGCCCAAGCATCCCGAGCAAATCACAGTCGCGTCATAACTTTAGCCCCCTGGCAGATAAGGACAAGCGTCGGGATCTTTCCGCCGGGAAGGGCTTCAGCCAGGGTGCGAGGTGGAAAGAAAGAAAAATCAAGCAAGGCGTTGGCGGGAGAGATGCATACGAGTGCTATTCCCGTGGCCGGGGTCTGTGATGGGGACCTGGCAACCCTTTTCTACGAATGCCCGGACGGGAACGACATGTCGTTGAGCCTCACTGTGGATCCTCCGCTCTGGACGCCCTTCATCCGAGAACTGCAATAGCCGAAGGGCCCATTTTGGGCCGAGAGATGCTGCCTGCGTGTGGAGGGGGGATCTTGGGGTTGTTCGCGGAGTGAAATGGCCTGATTGCGACTGCCACCGTTGCGACTCAACGATTCGGTGGTATAATTTATCGCCTTGAGCTTTCTAGAATACTGGTTTTTTGTCTCTCATTGCTTTGTTGCGGAGCTGGCAACAAACTTCGTCGAAAACTTGTAGTTCGTTGTTCTAGGAGACAAAGACACGAGTGTCGTTGAGACAAGATGATGGTGCTGTGCAAGTCCATGGACAGGGGTTCGTTGTCGTCCCAGTCACAACCGGAGAATCTTTAGCAGTGCGCTTTTCATCCTAAAGGTAAAGTTCAGGCATCGCTCAGTCTCATGTCTGTGTCTTTCTCTTGCGATTGAAGTTCCCTCCCAAGAACAACAAGATTGCTACTCATAAATAGGAGAACTGCAGGGCATACTCTTCTAGTGGTCGCCTGGGAGCCGCCTAGCAGCGACTTACCTTGAAGCTTCCACCGGGTTCAACCGACTGCTCTCATCTTCAGATAGGCAATGGTCCCCTTTTGATTCGTATCATCATGAGTTCTGGTTTACTGTGGACTGCTTGACTTAAGATGCCGGTGCTGGTCTCCATGTTGGCGTCCAAATCCAAGCGGACTCGCAAATCCAAGCCAAATCGAACAAGCATCGACCATACAATTCTTCCAACCGACAGACAGTCTTGAACCGAAATGCAACGATATCAGAGACGTCCGTGGTCGTACCAAACACTATGGTATGGCCCCGAAGCTCCGAGTAGATGGGGAGAAGCAGCATCGCCGAATCCCTTCAGTCAGCCATCGGAAGTGGAAGAGTTCAACAGGCTGTGTGAGATCCAGTTGGGACATGAGTACCACAGTTACCAGCTTGGAAGCTATTCGCGGCATTCAAGTGGCAGGATTTTCGGGGATGATCTCCCGCCAGCTAGGCTCCAACACCGACATAATTCGTCCATCGTATCGAGGATTATGGCACTTTCAGCGTTGACAGTTCTCGTGCTTGCCGAATTTGAAAAGAAAAGCCGGTCTGTGGCTTCAACAGCTCTGAGGACTCTCGACCGGGCACGTGAAGAGAGCAACGCCTGCCAACTTTGGCTCTCAAACTCAAAGCTAGGGACTACGCAAATGGTGATATTTGGTATACTGGTCACCTGCGCGCTGGTGTTGCATATGATGCAGCCTTTTGTGACAGGTCCGCGACCTGTCTACGTCTTGGTTCACGATTGTCGGTTTTGGTCGGCATGAAGAGTGTGTGCGAAGACGCTACGCCATGTTGATGGCATACGTGCTTCTGACATTAGAAAAGGAGAAATTGACGGGAACGCTCGGGCTGCTGTAAATACTCCCGAAGAGCAGTGCACGGGCCATGTGCATGTCACTATCAACCCAAGATCTACGGCCTGAATCTGTACTACTGATTGCATATGTGCTCGAGCTGCAATAGCAAGAGCCAATTTGAAGCCGAATGTAACATCATCATGGATTGCAATCTTGAGGACTATGGCATGGATACCATGTGTATTCATATTTCTTATCTCTTTCGTGTTCTACGGATACGTTCTTCAAGTACACCGCATGCTACAAGTAGATTCCAGGACCCGCTCCACGTTCGCAACCAATCTGAACTGTAACCTTCAAAATTCCCACTCATTGCCCCTCTCGCTTCTGCATGCTCACTCTCCATGAGCTGGGAATAGCGGCGAGCAAACCAGCGATTTGGATGACTGATCTCATCCACCTGGATCGATAGCTCAGTGGTAGAGCGAGAGATTGCAGCTTCCCGCAGCAACCTATCTCTAGGCCCCGCGTTCGAACCGCGGTCGGTCCTTGAAGCCCTTCGGGCACTTCGCTTTTTGTTCTTTTTGATTGAGAAGAATCCACAAATTTTGGGTTGTTTGCTGTTGCTGAGTTGTCTTGCATTTGCCATTTGGCCAAGTCTGTCGACGGTTGAGTGCAACGTGTCAATGATCCAGAGAGTCTGCAGTACCCAGCTTAACGATGGGCGCAACAATCAGGACTGGTATCCATCACCAAATTTCTTCACATCACCCTTACCCTGTCCAAACTGGCTAGGGTCCTTCGGCGAGATGAAATAGACCTCCTCGCGAGCACCGATGGCTTTCAGAGCCTTGCCATCGAAGACCCCATCGTAAGATGGCCAAGGCTGCAAGCGATACCTCGATGTGTTGTAGCGCCCACCGTCCCATGGGTTATTCATGTACTTGAGAAGCAGGTGATGACTCTTCAAAACCTCGTCCGGAAGGTCGTCCTTGAGGCGGACGAGATATAAGTAGCGACCTTGCTCGACGTCAGTTGTCGGTGGTAGAAGCTTAGTATCAGGCGGGATGGCAATGCCCTTGATTGACGTATAGGTTTTTGGGACTGCATCGTGTGAAGTAACGTTTCCCAGAATGGGCGAGGCCGAGACCGTGGTGTGGATCGTAAAGACCCCCAGGAGCACAATGGTCTTGATAGCGTTGAGGAAGCGCATCTTGGGGTCTGGCGTTAGAACTTTTCGATGTTTTCTGTAAAAAGAATAGATTGGACTAAGCCGAGGGAAGGTGTAATTGGACCTTAAATATGTACGAAATCTCAGTGACCTTGGTGATTCGTTTGGCTTTCTCCATTTCAACCGCTGTGGAAGCAGTCGCCACAACCATAATCAGACCCTTTAGACCACAAGGTATCCTCCCATGTTAATCCAACTACCCCTTGATCATTGACCCTAGAAAGAGGCCCAGCAAAGTGAGAGTCAGTGCCAATGGCGTAGTCGCATTCTGTACATCTCCCTGGATTATCCCAAGGAGATAAAGAATGCAGAAGATGATAAAAGGTGACAGGCACAAGACGATGCAAAAAGATGTCATCAGTGCTGAGCGGCGTTCTTGGATGTAGAGACCCCAAAAGTCTTCTTTCCGGTTGCTTTTCTCGTCGAGGTAGTAGTATCGCTGGGGTATGCACCCCACGGTGTCGGCACTCAGCGACTCAACGCAGGAGTAGAACGGGAGAGTCCATGACGAGCCTACGGAACCACTTTTGGTGGTGAATTGATAGATGTGGCTGAATTCTTCTGGGGACACCGGTGGTTCACGGAGTGCTGGCCGAGGAGTGTAGTAGTAGTCCTTTTGCGCCGTCGTCGGTACCTCAAGGCCCCGGTGAGCGAAGCCGTTTCGACAGAACTTTTCGAACTGAGAAACAGATTAGCTCCAGCGTCGTCGAAATTCATCAGGAACAACTCTCGAGTCGGAGGAGTGAATCATGTCAAGCAGGAGTTGTAGGCAATGACTCACACGTACGAAATCGCAGTGAGAGAATCCATACGGCGAAAACCACGATCTCCAAAAGCCTTTCAGCTCACGATATACCTGTCGCAGTTCTTGGCCAAATTCATCGGTGCTCAAGTACAGCGACGGGAGTTGTTTGAGAGTATGTCGACCAGTGGTAGCAACTAGGAATATGTATCTTGGCTTAGGATACTCCTGCTGCTTTGTTTGCTGATTCCCCTGATTTGATGCCGTTGGTTGAGCTGGCTCGGAATTTGATTTGCTTCCCATCTTGATGGAACTTGTTCCCAAGGAAGAGGATTCTGATGCCGTCCCCGACGATGAACCTGGTTTCACCGTCGTCGTGCTTGTCTTTGAGACATCCGTTCCATACCCCCCGTTGTAGAAAGGATACTTTCGTAGCAGCCACCCGATGCCGCCGGCAAACTCTGCTGGCAACACCTCCCACCTGTCTTTTCCACATCTCTGAACGAGTTTGCGTCAGCTTTTTCCTCGATGTTTTCAAAAGGGGCGACTTACACAGCGCCATCCAAGTCTTGCTTCTGAAAGACTGGAAGTATACTTTGGCGGACGTAACGGCCACCAATTCCACGTCTCTCCGGTGGTCGATTCCAACCATATTTGAACCTTATCCATGATGCCTTGTGTGCCCTCCACATCGAGAAAGATGCTTTGGGGGCGTGATTCCTCCAGTTCAGTAAGTGTTGTCATCATTCTTAATCTCATGTTGCTCCAGTACCGATCGTCCGTGTCTTTCCCCTCCAGAACCCTAGCGACGAGCTTCGAACCCTGTGAGCGAAATGAAGGATCTACGAAATCGGACAGATTCCGCGCCAAATTTGCGAAGGACGAACTGTTTAATATGAAGGCACTGATAGACTCAAAGTCGAGGTCCGCAGCTTCTTCCTTGTCGTCAGAGGCCATGTCGTCCGGCTCATCCTCGTCATCTCGTTCTGCCTCCACGATCTCATACTTTGCTTCCATCTCTGCGCTGTCTTGGCTCTGTCCTTCCGCCACTGTCTCAGATGTTGTCGCATGTTCAGGATGCAGGACTGGAGACTCTGAAGGGTCTGGAAGAACAGGCGAAATGCACTTTTCAGACGCCCTCATTAGTAGTGATTGCTGAAGCTATTGGGATACGATACTGTCTGAGGAAGACGGCCGAAAGAGCCTCATCTTTTGTTGTAGCTTCGACCGCCAAATCCTTGCCCAATTGTCGGAGCAGACGAGCCAGGTTTCTTCGTAGCCTGTCTACCCCAATTGAGGACTTGTGCATCGCTGTCTCGAACAATGGGTACAAAACCTCATTCTCATGGAGGAATGTAATCGCCTTGCTAAGGCCAGATCGTACCGGGCCCGAAGCCGAGCTTCCAACAAGTGTCGTTGAAGATTCGAAAGATGCCACTGAGTTGGTTTCCCAGTCATCGTTAATTAAATTTGGGCCTTCTTCGTTGCACCAAGGTTGAATGGCCTCATACTCCGGAGTAAGAAGAGGTGGAAACAAATGACCAACATGGCTGAAAAGTGCCGGAGACTTGGCCAAGTAATCCCTCAAATGAGGTGACCTGACTACTTTATTGCATTTATCCCAGTTGTCATACATCTGGGCCCAATCCTCCCTCCAAGCGAATATGGAAGGGTCCTCGGTGGTTTTGAGAAGTTCCTCTTGAAGCCGATAAAACGCTTCTGTAGCGCCTTCACCATACCTGATGGGAATTTGAACACCCGCCAGTCCGAGAAGTGCGTATGAAAGATCCTCGAGATGTGTAGCATTGCGTCTTGCAGCCCAAAACATTTTGCGGGCGAACGAAACTTTGCTTAGATCCCCTGTTGCAAGCACATAAGGGTCGACATCCGTAATGTCATACAAAAGCATTTGAAGTTCGTTGCGTCAACCGATGAATTGCCATTGACGGGAGTAGAAGTATACTCGAGGGGGCGCAATTAGCTCTTGGAGACTCCATGACCGAGTGAACCATCTGCTATGTCTAAGTCGTTCTGTCGGCGCGGCTGCAGGTGTTTTTCCTGGGGATACATGAGTCTTTGTTTCATACGCTTCAACGTCGGCTAGGTAGACGATGCAAAGAGCTGCTGATCTGAATAATTCGAAGCCGGAGTTGACGGTGTCGCTGAGTTCCTTCGGGTCCGCCCGATTTGTGCAGCAAGTATCGACCCATATGCAATGCAGCTCATGATGCAGAGCGACACGACATGCATCCTCGAGCTTTTTGTAGCCCGTCTTGATCATACCTCTAGATGATATTTTGTCATCCTCAAGATCTGAATGCCGTACCTCATCGGGGGCCCAGGTCGAGGACAGCACTGCGTAAGGTGGGCGTGCATCATCCGGAAGATGCACAGGCTGAATACTCTGTGTCGAGAAAGATCATCGCAAAGCATTCGTTCACGTAATAGCCAGCCGCCGTGATGAAACCGCCAATTCATGGACAAAGGAGTGACAAGGCTGTGGGTATAGCATTCTGATAACATGCCGGCGATGGAGTAGCTCACGTGGTCCAATGGGATGTCTTCGCATATGCAGCTCAGAGGAGTCAGCGATAGGCTCAAGAGGGTCCAGCAGAAGAAGCACAAAGTCCGTCCCTGATAACGCGAGTAGTCTGATACATTGGTATTAGATTTCAAGTTTGCCTCAAACGTCAAATCCGGTGTGAAGAGTTGGGATAATGGTCGAGGCCAAAGTCTTCGTTATGCAGGGCACCCCTCACATGATGCTGCCCCCCAGCTTCCGCTGCAGCTTCTCTCCCTTATCTTCCGCCGCTTCCTCCTCCTTCCTCTTCTCAATCGCCGCCTTCCGCCTGTCGTGATACGCTGGGTCCCTAGCAACACCCTCCCTCCGCCACTTGCGCGGCGGCTTCACGCCCATCTCCGCGTACCTCGACCACACGCTCACGCCGCGGCGGAACCACCTCTCCTGCCTGTCCTGCTCCTCCTCGGGCGACGCCTGCCACTTGCTCCTCAGTATCCTGCGGATCGCCTCGGGCGACACCTCGAACATGCTCGACAGCTTGGTCGTCGTGTACTCCTCGGGGGACTGCGCATGCAAAGCCTTGATGCCGGCGATGGCGTCGGGCGACAGGCGCTTCCGCGGGTTCCACCCCTCGGGAAACTTTTCTTTGAGGGCCTCCTTCTGGACCTGCCAGTGCTCACGCTGGTGTTTGCGCTCCCGCTCGTGGGGGTTTAGGTCGCCGTCGTCTTCGTCGTTGGTCGGTCGCCTGGGACGTGGTTTCCTTGGACGGTAGCTGTTGCTTCTTTCATCGGAGGACGTTTGCGTTGCTTGTGCGGCTTGTGAGGCTTGTTTGGCTGTTGCCTTCTTCGCATCCCATTTATTATTGAACGAGGCGCGTCGCCTTGGGAGCGTAGTGCTGAATGGGGATCTCGGGATGGTCTGGAATCTTGGGAGGTTGTTACTGATATGCTTAGGTATTGTCGCTGCGGCGGCGGGTTCGGAGACGTGCAGCTGCGCCATGCTGCTGAGCAAAGCCCGCAAAGGACTGAGGCGACAAGAGCAGAGCATGTTTCGATTGTCGACCGGTGAGGATGCGTGGACAGGGAATGCGTCGTGGCGTTGCGCTTCGAAGTCTGCGATTAGCGGCAAACGGGCTGCGAAAAAAGTTGGTTGACAAATTTCCATGCTAAGGTATCGATACGGAGTTCGATTGACGGGACGGGGCGCGCTACTACAGTGGGTCCGCCCCGGGGCAAGGGTGCCGTGGCGCCGGCGCTGAGCCCGTTGTCCGGTGCCCTCCAGGTTCTGCAGGGACCCGGTGCCACTAAATTAAATGAATACTTCCATCGTCCTCGTCAGCAAACCTTACCTATCGTTTGTAAGACAACTCTGCGACTTCAACAACGACGATGCAGTGGATGCCATTACGGCGAAATTTCATAACCAGCAACACAACTTGCTCGAGAGTTCGAGTAGGTTGCTTTCCCCCCTTATTGCTGACGATGAGGCCCGCCTATTCTAACCCCTCACTGGAGCTAACCGCGAGCTGGAATGCACGTGCAAGAAATCAAAGCATCATCCATGCTCCCCGCGGTTCTCCATCCGCGCAGCGTCGGCCAGCCTGCCGCCCTCCATCCCATCTCTGGCAGAGCCGTTCACACCACAATCGGCCCTCCCTGTCAAGTGGTTTAGGGTAGCAAGCCGTGGTCCGGTGATCTGCCAGCGCGTCTGTGAGGAACTCCCCTCATCCGAATGGGGTCACCAACTCGTTTCGCAGTGCGAGCGGGCATGTGTTCGAGAAGAACGACAGGGAGGCTGCGAGTCAACATGCTTAATTCAACTTGACATTTGTTGACTATCATATGATTTACACTTGGAGTTTTCAGATGTTAAATCCTGCCGGCTTTCCTGGGTTTTGTTAAGCTCGAAGAGCTGGCTTTGAGTTCGATGAAGTCATTGCGTTTGTTAGCCCCTACTTGCCACACGGTGGAGTTGAGCTAAACACCACTCGCAAACTATCTTCACCCTCATTCTTATCTGCAACTTCATGTTGTGAATCTGTACACCAGTGCTATTCCTTCTTGTACAATTTTGACATTATCTTCACCCACATCTCATACAGTCAGACCCCTAGAGCAATGGCAGGCCGTCTCTGGTATAGAGGCCCCGAGTGGCAAGAAGCATGGGACTATTGGTTCAAGTGGACAGACGAGCATCTCACATCTGACGACCTTCGACCGTTGATTTACACGTACGATGAGCTGGGAGCCCAGGCTCTGGACCGCCTCGATGAGATATCACCGCCAGCCAAGCCCCCGGCACCCAGCGAGAAAGTAGACAACTCTCCCAAGGAGAAGTCTCCCCACAGAGACTTATACGCCCTCCTCAAAGACAATGCCAATTCGGATGAGATACTAGGAAAACTCTGGACCGAAATCAACACCATCCCGGACTGGGTAGACTGGGCCCAGATTGAACGCGGCCAAAAGGTGTTTGTCCGTTACGCCGGGCCAGCCATCTTCTCCGTAAGCCCCCTATCCTTCATCGAAGAACGACCTCACTAACACTTCACCCAGCTCACGTTCCAGTCCCTGGTAGGCGGCTTCGGCGGCCGCCGCGTGGTCGAAACGCTCGCCCGCACCGGCGGCTTCGGCGTCAAGGTCACCCGCCGCCGCCTCCTCGAGACGTTCCAGCACATCCTCCAGGTGACCTCCGACCTGCCCTCGATCCAGCCCGGCGGCGCCGGCTTCGCCTCCTCCGTCCGCGTCCGCCTGCTCCACGCCGCAGTGCGTCGCCGCATCCTCGCCCTCACCCGCGAGAAGCCGTCCTACTACGACGTCGAGGCGTGGGGCATCCCCGTCAACGACCTCGACTCCATCGGCACCGTGTCCACCTTCTCCGCGACGCTCATCTGGATCGGCCTCCCGCGGCAGGGGATCTACCTCACGGAGCGGGAGAAGGAGGACTACGTCGCGCTGTGGCGCTGGGTGGCGCATGTGCTGGGCACGCCGACGGAGGCGTTCGAGAGCGTGAGCCGGGCGCGGGCGATGATGGAGTCGCTCATGGTGTCTGAGATCGAGCCCTCCGACACCTCGAGGGCGCTGGCGAATAACGTTCTGTCCGGGCTGTGCAACCAGCCGCCGTCGTACGTGTCGCGGGACTTTTTGGCGGCGGAGACGTACTGGCTCAACGGGGCGAAACTCGCGCGCGCGCTGGGCATCGAGAGGCCGCCGTGGTACTACAACCTGCTGGTCGTCGGGCAGTGCATCTTCTTCATGGTCATGTGCTACTCCCATCGTCTGTTTCCCGGGTGGGACGAGACTCGGAACAAGGTATGGAGAAGTGATCACGTACCACAACTCACTCAAAGCGAGTCTAAGCTAACACCAACCCAGAAACTCCAGAAAGGCCTCTTCAACATCACAATCAACAAGCCGGAGCTCGGCGCCCTGGGCAAGGAGACGAACTTCGAGTTCCAGTACATCCCGACCCTCGACATGATGTCCACCGAAGCCGC